TCTCTGCATATTGAGAGTCAGTGACTATATTGAGGGGTTCTGTGAAGTCCATCAGTACCATAAGAATAGCATACAGTTCTTCCTTTTGTACAGAGCTGTATGGACTTTGTACCACTTTACTTAAGTCTCCTGATTTATATCCTGCTTTCCCTGATTTATTTGCATCAGTATAGAATGTGAGGACTCCAGAAATTGGCTTTTGCATACAATGTGAGGAAGGACCCATTCAGTCTTCTTTATGAATTCTATTCTCTTGCTTTTGGGATAGTGGTTGTTAATCTCTCCCAAAAAGTTACTGCATGCTCTCTGCCCTTACTCATTATCTTTCTATAGTGATGAAATTTCCTCATTAGTTAAAGGTACTACAATTTCTGCTGGGTCCATTCCTGTCAACTGGCAAAGTCTTAATTTACCTTTTTGAATCAAATCTGAGATCTTTTCTATATAAGTCTTAAATTTCTTATTTGGTTTATGTGGTAGGAATATCCATTCCAATATAATATCTTCCCTCTGCATCAAAATACCTGTTGGGGAATGTCTGGAGGGGAATATGACAAGAATGCATTTAAGTTCTGGATCCACACGATGCACATGTGCTTCTCGAATTGTCTTTTCTACTAGAGCCAATTTCTTCTCAGCTTCAGCTGATAATTCTTTTGGACTATTTAATTCTTTGTCCCCTTCTAGAGTACTAGCCAAATTTTGCAGTCCATCTTTGGGTATTCCCATGATACCCAGTAAGTTGGAAATGCTTCCTAATAACTTCTGAAAATCATTAAGAGTCTTCAATCAATCTCTCCTTAGTTGTACCTTTTGGGGTCTAATTTTTTGTAGCTCTATCTTATATCCTAAGTAATTGATAGAATCTCCTCTTTGTATTTTTTCAGGAGCAATTTGCAGTCCCCCGCTAGGCAAAACTTTTTTTACTTCTTCAAACATGCTTTCTAATGTATCTAACTTTGGATCAGCTAATAGGATATCATCCATATAGTGATAAATTATGGATTGTGAAAATTTTACACGAATTATCTCCAATGGTTTTTGCACAAAGTATTGGCACAAGGTAGGCCTGTTTAACATTCCCTGTGGGAGGACCTTCCATTGATATCTCTTGACGGGCTGAGAATTATTATAATTAGGTACTGTAAAGGCAAATTTTTCTCTTTCATTTTCTTGTAAGGGTATGGTAAAGAAACAGCCTTTTAAGTCAATAAATATTATAGGCCATTCTTTGGGTAGCAGAGAGGGCAAGGGCATCCCAGTCTGTAGGGAGCCCATTGGCTGAATTACTTTATTAATAGCTCTCAGATCTGTCAGCATTCTCCAATTACCAGACTTTTTTAAAATAAGAAATACAGGATAATTCCAAGGGCTGGTAGATTCTTCAATGTGTTGAGCATTTAACTGCTCTTGAACAAGCTGTTCTAAAGCTTGTAGCTTCTCTTTTGTCAATGGCCATTGTCCAATCCAGACAGATTTATTAGTTAGCCATTTTAAAGGTAAGGCAGTTGGTACTTCTGAGAGTTCAACAGCAGTTGTGCTCTGTTTGTGTACAGCCTGAATGGTTGGTGACTGTTTTTCATAGCATGTCATGATATTATTCCTAGAGACATGCATTGGTCTGTATTCCTTTCCTGAGAGTGGTGGCGCACGCCTTTAATCCCAGCACTTGGGAGGCAGAGCCAGGCGGATCTCTGTGAGTTCGAGGCCAGCCTGGTCTCCAAAGCGAGTTCCAGGAAAGGCGCAAAGCTACACAGAGAAACCCTGTCTCGAAAAACCAAAAAAAAAAAAAAAAAAAAAAAAAAAAAAAAAGGAATTTTAATCTGGGTATTCCAATGTTGTAACAGATCTCGGCCCCAATGATTTACTGCTACATTTGCTACATATGGCTTCAGCCTTCCTCTCTGTCCTTCTGGCCCTATGCATTCAACCCATCTCAAACGCTGTTTTATCTGAGATAGGGTGCCAATCCCTAAAAGTTGGACATCTGCCTCTTGAAGAGGCAAATTTGGATGCCATGATTTTGGTGTAATTATAGTTACATCTGCACCTGTGTCTACCAGGCCCTCCAGAACCAGGCCATTAATTCGAATTCTAAGCTTTGGTCTTTGTTCATTTATGGAAGTCTGCCAAAATATTTGTTTTATAGTGTTCTTTGTAAACTGTGATCCATCTATCAGAGCTGTTTTATCATCCATTGCAATATTGGTTTTTACATTAGGCATTGGTTTATTCAGTTGTCCTGGAGAGGAATTTCTTCCACAGTGGCTGGGAATGTTCGTACTACATTTGATTTGGGGGCCTGCAAGAGACCCCCTGAGGCATTTCCTGCCAGTAAAGGGTTGCCTTGTATATCTATTCTTGATCTGCACTCACTGGTCCAATGTCGGCCTTTGCCACACCTTCTACATAATCCGGGAGGTGGTTGGGGTCTCCTGTTTAGGCTATTCCTAAATGGAGTATCACTTCTAAGAGTACCCCATGTACAGTTTTTACTTATATGACCTGGTGTACTACATTTAAAACATTTGGTACCACAGGCCTTCTTTCACCTCTGGGATTTGTCTCTCCTATCCGAGCCTCATTACTGTAGTTAAGAGACTGAACACCATTAGTATACTGAATCCATTCTTCCAAAGGAGCTGATCTGATCTTTAATGGTGTAAGTATTCTTCTGCATTCTGCATTAGCATTGTCAAACGCCAAGGACTCAGTTAATATTTTTCTTAATTCTTTATCTGATACAGCTTTTGTTATACCTGTGTTCTGCCTTTGTAAAAAATCAGTGAAGGGTTCATGCGGTCCTTGAAATATCTTTGTGTATACCTCCGTTGGTTTTTCAGGTTCTGGAATTTTTTCCCAAGCATTTAGAGCTGCTGTAAGGCATAAGAATATTGTATGCTCATCATAAATGGCTTGTACATTCCTGTCAGCAAAACATCCCTCACCAAGTATTTGATCTTGGGAGATCACAAAACCTCTGAGTTTACCTTGTTGTTCTAAATTTTTTGCCTCTTCTCTCAACCAGCTTTTCCACTGTAACACTGGCTATATTCTAGAACAGCTGAAATTAACTGATGCCAGTCATCTGGAATGATTCTATGTGAGGTAGACCACGAATTTAACATGTCTTATGTATGTGGAGTGTATCCCATACGTAACTACTGCTTCCTTTATATTTTTAAAATCCCGTGTTGAAATTGGTTGTAATGTATATGTATTATATGGCTCAGGGTGTGTGTCATCTGCTGGCTTCTCATGCATGATAACAGGATAAGCCATTGTATGAGAGCCATTTGGAGATGTTACAACCTCTATGGTCTTGCCCTTCTGCTTATTAGGTCCCTTGTCATGTTTACTGAGAGTTTCTTCTAGGGCTTGCAAACGAGTATTTAGGGTCTGTTCTAAGGAGTGAACCTCCTCTCTTGCAAGGGACTCCAGATTTCTCATGGAATCAAAGAAGTTTTTATGTTCCTCAGAAACACATGATTCCATGGACCTTATCAATTAATGACAATCTTTCTTCCTTATATAGTGTCTGGAGAGTTAGTGTTCTATCCATCAAATATTCACATTTATTATCAATAAGATCAATTTTTGGTACAAGCCTGTTTTGTAAATCCTGATCAGCAGATTCCAGAGAAAGAATCTTCTTCTGTAAGTTTTCATTGCTATTTTTTAAAGCAGATTCCAGAAAGAGAATCTTTTTCTGTAAGTTTTCATTGTTATCTTTTAAAGGAGATTCCAGAGAGAGAATCATTTTCTGTAAGTTTTCATTGCTATTTTTTAAAGCCTGTATCAGTCCAAATAATGACTCATCTTTGTTCTTATTATTAAACCAGTGTTTGAACACTGTGTGAATTATTACGATGAATGCCAAAATGGCACAGGCCAAATATGCCTGAGGAAGGTCATATATTTCCAAGAAAATGTCATTCATCATACAGACAAAAAAGTTTTTAAATTCTTGTGAGGTAATATTTTCGGCCATATTACAAGAATTACTCAAAATTTGTTAGTCAATTTTAATGTATATAATTATCAAGTACTTTTACTTGAAATAAGACACTGCTTTGCCTATCTTGCCTTTGCGTGGTTCTGGGGGTGTAGTAGGACTTTTCAGCCACAAGGAGGCATTGGTATAGAGCAGGTCCTGTTGAATGCCTTGGCTGGCAGCAGAGTGAGCACAGGCAGCCGGCAGTTTTTCCAGTGACCCCCTGGAGCTTCAGGGCGTGGAGACTTCCAGGCCGCTCTAAGCCCCTCTCTGCCTCTACAGACAATAGGTCTGCCAGCAGGCATGGCTCCAAACCCCCGCCAGGGACAAGGGACAGTGCCCTGTCTATTTTAACTAGGTGAAACTGTGGAAGCCTCAGGCTAGGGCAGGGAGCCAGCACTTAGGGAGCCCCACTCACAGTGATTTCGCTGGTCCGGGGCTAAACTTGCCACGGAACTGATATCGGATTAGTTCCTTTTTAGGAATGGAACCATATAGGTTTTTCCTGGTTTTATGGAAATCTGCAGGCAGTAACCTGCAGCTTCAAGTGCCTGCCAGCTGGGGAGGAAGCTGAGGGAAGGAGCCACCCAGGCCTTTGGAATTTGCCCCACATGAGTGCCAGATATTGGTGAAATTATTAAGGCCACTCCATGTAGTTAAAAGGGAGATGTATTTAATGGCATAACTTACAAATGAAGGGATAGGTAGGTTGCAGGTTCTGGGAAGGACACAGCGCAGTGGTGTTCTCTGGAGAACTCTCCTTGGTCTACCTCTAACGTCCAGGGTCCAAGCAGGAAGAGAGCATGGCACATCCTGATCTCGGGTCTTCAGGGCCCTCCCTTGGCCCCGCCTTGTAGGCATGATAGTTACTGAAGCCTCAATGGGGGTTGGAACTTCCGGACCAAAGCTGGAATGGCTACCCACTACATAAAAGTGCTTTGCTTGGAGTCAAATGTCCCTTTCTGGCAAATTCTCACATAACAAATCCCCTGCTTCCTTCACACAGAGAGAATGCTGGTGGTGATCAGGTCAAAAAGAATCTGATTGAACTGAGTTGTCACTTCACATGGGAGCTGCTGTTGGAAGAAATTGACATACCTGATTTGGAAACAAGGATCTCTGAGGAGCTTGCATTCCTAGACATCAAGGACAGAGTGGGAATGCTCAACCTCAGGGCCTATGTGAAACACCTGAAAGGCCAGCATGAGGAAGCCCTGCAGAGCTTGAAAGAAGCAGAAACCTTGATCCAGGGAGAGCAGTTGTACAAGAGAAGCCTGGTTACGTGGGGCAACTGTGCCTGGGTGCATTACCACATGGGCAGCCTGGCAGAAGCCCAGACCTACCTGGACAAGGTGGAGAACACATGCAAGGAATTGGGCAGTCCCTACCGCTATAGGATGGAGTGTCCTGAGATGGACTGTAAACAAGGCTGGGCCTTGCTGAAGTGTGGAGGACAGAATTATAAACGAGCCATGGCCTGCTTTGCAAAGGCTCTGGAAGTGGAGCCTGAAAACCCTGAATACAACATTGGCTATGCTACTGTAGCCTATCGCATAGACTGTGATGACAATAATATCTCTCTAGAACCCCTAAGGAAGGCTGTAAGGTTAAATCCAGAAGATCCATTTATTAAAGTTTATCTTGCCCTGAAGCTTCAGGATGTAGGAGAAGCAGCTGAAGCAGAAACACACATCGAAGAAGCTCTCAGTAGCACATCCTGCCAACACTATATCTTTCGATATACAGCCAAGTATTACAGAAGGAAAGGCTGCCTAGACAAGGCTCTCCATCTGCTACACAGGGCCTTGCAGGCGTCACCTGCCTCTGGCTACCTGCATTACCAACTAGGGCTCTGCTACAAGCAAAAAATGATCCAACTGAAGACATCCAGAAATGACCAGGCCAGAAGGCAGGGTAGTGTGCAGAAATTGGCACAACAGGCCATTTGTGAATTTCAAGAGACTGTGAATCTCAGGCCCAGGGATGAGATGGCTTATGTTTTCATGGCTGAAGTGCAGGCAGAAATTGGCCAATATGAAGAAGCAGAGGCAAATTTCCAGAAGGCACTGAACATGAAGAATCTTGAGTGTCACATAGAGCAGGATATTCATTTCCGCTATGGCCGTTACCAACAATTTCATCAGAAATCAGACGACAAGGCGATCACCCACTACTTAAAAGGTCTGAAAATAGAAGAAAAGACCTTTGCCTGGAGGAAACTACTCACAGCTTTGGAGAAAGTGGCCACAAGACGTGCTCGCCAGCATGTTCGACTTGTGGAGAGCACCAGCTTGCTTGGGTTAGTCCACAAACTGAATGGGGACAAGGAGGATGCCCTGCAGTTCTATGAGAGGGCTCTGAGGCTCACTGGGGGAGTGAACCCTGAGTTCTGAATGCAGCTCACCTCTGAGAAGTGAATGTACTCATAACTGAGGGTTCCCGGCTTCCTTCCCAGTTTCTTTCTCCAAACTCTTTTCATCCCTCATTGTGGTGTCTATGAGGAACTTCCACCCCACTACATCTTCTCACTTACTGACCAGGACTGACCCCTGCTGATCTGCACTCCCTTGAGCTGTGGGATCCTAGGACATCTTTTCCTTATGTCTGTGTTTTGGGAATGAAAGTCTTCCATCTTCTGCCTGCCAATGTCCTGGACAAAGAGGTCTTCTCCAAGGAAGCTTTTACTTTAAGTCACCAGTTACTTTTACTACAGTGCAGTGTCAGAGGAATCCAAATGAGCAAAGGAGAGAGTTTGCAAGCTGAGAGGTCTCCCCTTACTGCAGAATTATTCACAGCTAATAAGAGCCTTAAGTTTAGGGAAAGCCAAGCAAAGAAAACTTGCCAGGACATTACAGACAGAGGATGATATAAGGAGATTTGTGCACTTTCGGTTGTGGGAGCTCGTTTTCAGGTTACTCATGGCTTTACCCAGCAGATCCACATAGGAGGATGATTAGGACCAAGGGCCTGAATACTGGTGTCTGAGATGGTCTGCACTTGACTTGCTGGGGAGAGGTCTTTTGCTCCACCCCTTGGTGTCTGTATAAATACCCTGGTGCAGAGACAGTCAGGGCCCGTTGGAATAGGTTCTAGGCCCTCTCAAGGCTCTCCTTCATTTTCTATCTGTTCATCTCCACATTCTAAACCCTTTTATCTAATATTTCCTGCTTCTCACACTCAGGAAACTCTGGGGAACTGTGGGGTTAGTGAGTAAACACCCCGCAGAATGGTGCCATGAACAGGGACTAAGAAAAAAAAGCGAGGGAGACGAAAGACAAATTAACAGGGACTAAAGACAAAGAATAGGGACTTAAAACAAAGGAAAATAATAGTTTTAATACAGAGTTTTTGGCGAAAGTGCTGAGTCAGACTCTGACAGTGGAAAAAGAAAGGGGCATGTCTGGTGTAATAAATATGAAATATGAATATTAAAAAGGGGCATGGGGTTTTATCCTCAAGAGTAAAGGAAAAAACTGACTGGAAGATTGTCCGATGCTGCAGCGCAAAAATCTCCTCTATCAAATTTTCTATCTTCTATCTCTTTTTTAATTTCTATGTGTGAAAAATAAGTATAAGTTATAGTGTAGTAATATAGTGTAGAAAAAACTTAGAAGTATAAGATTGTGTAGAAAAAATTTAAGATAAGTAAGGCAACTAGACAGAAAAACTCAATTTTCTAACTTTGGGGGCTATTAACGCAAACTGGGGGGAGAAATCTTTCTTTGAGCTTTATGGGTAGTAAAAAAAAAAAAAAAAAAGCTCTTCTTTGAGCTTCGGGCAGAAAAGAAAAAGAAAAAAGTTTCCTATGGAAGCTTTAGGCCTGGGGACAGCTAAAGTCCAAGGGGCAGGAGAAAAGTGATTTCTTCCAGAGGCAAAAATGCGGGGGTAAGAATCCAATTAGTTTAAAGTTCAAAGCTTTGTGAAAAGTTGGTCTTTTTCTCTTGGGGGAAAAAATCTTTTTCTTAAACTAAAAGCTTTTCTTGGAAATTTTGGGCAAAAATATCTCTATAAAAAGCCTTAATCTTTCTCTCTCAAACTAAAAGCTCTCTTTAAAAACTTAAAAACTAAAGCCTTTGACTTTCTCAGAAGGACAAAAAATAGAATCACCTGAAGATTTTAGCATGGGAATCACCTGTGATTAGCTCTAAGGGAAAGCAACAAACCTCTTAAGACAGCAAAACCTCTAAGTTCTGTCTTTCAAGCTTTAAAAATCCTCCTTGCAATGCAGGAGGCAGGGATGGAGTTCCTAAAAATCTCTCTTCTAAGCTCTGTCTCTTCAAGCTAGTAAAAGACAGTGAGTCAGAGTTAAGGTTCCATCTTGCAGTCTGGGGACAGTAGGAGAATAAAGAGGCTTCCAGACTGCTGAGGAGTTTGAGATTTTGTTTCTAAGTTTCAACAATGTTTTCAGACCTGTTGAAAGCTGCAGGTCTAGAATCCCATTCCAATTTAGACAACTATCTTCTCCTGTTGGGAAGTTGAGTTTCCAGTTAAGCAATTCAGAAACAGAATATTCCTTACAAGGTTTTTCTCTTCTCTTTTCTTTCTTTTGAGTTTGCTGTAAACTGATGTAACTCTTAATAGTTGTTATAAAGGATCTGAAATGCATAGCAACAGAAGACACTAAGTCCCAGAACTAAGAGAGCCATTAAAGAATTATACTCATTTTAATCTATCAAGAACTTTCAGAATATCAAAGCTGTCTATAAGCTCTGAACTTTAGAAATGATATGCGTACTTCCTCTCTACTTAAGAGAATCTTCTAATAGAGATAATGATAATAATTAAGTAAGAAGTAGACAATTATTCTCTCTTATTAGAAAATGTTAAATCTCTAAGTGTGAAGAAATCTTTAGGTGTTTGCTAAGTTAGATATATGCTAATGGTAGCCCTGTAGAGTTTGCTTAATAGTTCTTATGAATATAAGTGTGTAAAATAGATCTATAATTAAATAAGTACAAGTAATATAAACATGTGATAGATCTATAAAATAAGCTTGCAAGAAGTAAAGATGCTAGTTGTAAATGTAAGTTTAAATAAGAATATAGAATGAATATAAGAAGTAAATGAGAAATATATTTGCTAAAGTAGTTCTATAGTTTCCTTAAGGAGTATAAATAAGTAGATGTTAATATGTTATATGTGAGTTTGTAAAAAAGTGTAAATGTTGAATGTGAGTCTAAATGCTTGGTAAGATACGTTATATGTGAGTTTGTAAAAAAGTTTAAATGTTAAGTGTGAGTCTATGCTTAATGTACATGGTGTAAAAAAAAAAAAACTGAGACACAGAAGTTAGTGTCCTAGCAGACTGCAAAGCAGGCAGTCTGAGTGGTTTTCAAAAGCTCCAGAAGCCACTAAGAAGCTAAGAATGGTGGATGCCAGAACCAGCACAACAACACATCCCCAGTTGGGATCCTAAGGAAAATCAAGGCAACACAGAAAAACCTGAGCTAACAACAAAAACGGTGCAGTTTAAAATATTACTGTAACTAAAAAGGCCCTGGATTGAGAATGAAAGTTACAAACACACTTGTTTGAACTAAAATTGTTAACTGCAAAAAGTTTTGGTTGTAAAACGTCTCTTCATATCTGGAAGTGAAAGTCTAATACCAGAATTTACTTTTCTTGAACTTAAAAAAAAACGAGAAAATTACAAAAAGATTTGTTATGGATTTCTTCATATTTGGAAGGCTAGTACTAGAATTTATTTGAATTTTGGAATTTAAGAAATGAAATGAACAATAGTGATTTCATTGCAATGGGACAATTTTGAATTTACTTATGGTGATGACTTAGGAACTGTTTTCTGGAATTATTTGTGTTAAAAATGGAACTGTTTAAATGAAGAAATTTATTGTTTCTACCTAGAGTCAAGATGCAGTTTTGTGTATGCATATATGCTTTATTGACTGGTGATTCATGAATTGTTTTAAGGAACTGTTTAAGTAAAAATGAAATTACTTATGGAACTGGTTTTGTGTTACAAATGAAACTGTTTAAATGGAAAAGTTTGGGTTTGCTAACTAGGCTTGAGATTTTGCTTAAAAAATTATAAAGAAAAGGGAGAGTTAATATTCCTTACTTTATTTAATTTAAAACTTTTCTTATTTGAGTGGATTAATGTTATGTTTTGTTAGTGAGAAATGCAAATGGATATGTTAAGATTACTTTAAAGTGTAAAGAGTTTTATTAAACCGCTTTTGGATGTTTTGCTAAAAGTTTTCAAAGTGTTAATGGTTAGATTGAGAATATAGCTTTTCAATATGGGTTTATAGGAATTGTGTAAGTTTGGGTTTTTCTAACTAAGTTTGAGATTGTTTAAAAAATTTTACAAAGAAAAGGAGGAGTTATGATTGAGTTAAGGTTGAATGTATGTTTGCAGAAATTATGTTAATTTATTGATATTAATGTACCCTGGTTTTGTGTAGTTAAGGAAATATTTAAGTTTGACATAAAAAATCAGAAGTTTTTCCTATGTTCTGTTAGCAAGAAAATTCAAATGATTCTATTAAGAGTTAAAGTTGTCATGATTCAGGATTTTAAATTCTGGAAATTGTTGTTGATTTTTTAATTCAGCTGTCCATTCTTGGCTGTGTATATATGGCTTCATCTTAACATCCCGTTCTTCTCCACATCCCTCTGTCAAATGCCAGTTTACTATTGCGAGGCGTGAGCTTAGTTACTCTTCAAGAATAACTGTTTCAGCTGCTGTTCCATTGCACATCAGAAGCCATCGGCCCACTGCCTATTCAGCTGCCTTCGAAGAAAAGGGCACTGTACCTTTTCCAAATTGCGAAGGCCACTTCAGGGATGGTGCCATATTGTCCTGGCCTCAGAAGATGCCTTTTGATAAAGCCATAACCACACTCGTTTTGGCAAGAATCAGTAGTCCTTTGTTTCATGTCCTGTCTGTCCATTTTGTCAGCAGTTGATTCAAGGATACTTTGTTGTCCAGTGGCTAACTTTTGCCACAATGAAAGTTAACTCCATATGCAGTTTCTTCAATGCCCATATTTTCTCTGAAGTTGATTGGTACTGCCAGGAGCCGACATGTCTCATAATCATAACAAAAAAGAAAAATTTTCTAAGTTATTAAAACATTTTAAATGCCATATTCTGTAGATCTCTGAAGGGTTTGAAATCCTGAATCATGACATGACACTAGTGGAATTCAGGTGTTTCTGGTACATGGACTGCTCTCACCCAATGTGAGGTTGAACTGTCGACCTTGTGTACATCCTACTTCACAAATGAGTCTGTCAGATATGCTAAGCCTATAGGCTGAAGATGATGCCCCAACACTGTGGAGAAACCTCAGGTGACTGTCCAGGCAGCTGGCTGTTTCTGTCAACTCACAAATTTTTTGGAAGTTGCTTGCATGCACTTTCTGTTTTTATTTTTGTTAGCTAATATTATTTCCTTCTTGGGTCTCTGAGGGAGTTGAAGATTAGTTAGTTATAGTTGAAGGTTAGTTAGTTATAGTTGAAGATTAATTAGGATAGAAAGTGAATTAGATACATTTTGGACTTAACAAAATAGGATAGATAATGAAATTATTTTCTCTGAATTTGTCAAATACAAATGGACTAGACATTGTTTAGACATTTATTACTTGTATATATTGTATATAGTCATTGTACTTTTGTATATAGTTTTTCTTTTGTTAGTTATAACCTTTTTCTTTTTTTTCCTTTTTATTAAAATAGAAAAGGGGAAAAAAAAAAAAAAAAGAAACAACACAAATGGGGGGGGGCGTTGGGGGGAAGGTGAGGGGGACGGGAGGGGGGAGAACAAGGGAATCCGTGACCAATATGTAGAACTGAATTGTATTGCAAAATAAATTAAAATAAATTAAAAAAAAATATATATATATATAAAAAAAAAAAAAAAAAAAAAAAAAAAAAAAAAAAAAAAAAAAAAAAAAAAAAAAAAAAAAAAAAAAAAAAAAAAAAAAAAGAGTTAAAGTTGTAAGACTGAGAAAATTGTTAAATATATATATACATATATATATCACCATTTATGTTAATTCAAATGTTCTGTTAAGAGTTTGCTATGAGTTGTAAGACTGGGAGAATTGTGACTATGTATAGCAATATTTATGTTAACATGTTAATGGTAATGATGAAGCTAAGGGGTTATTTAAGTTTGCAATTGCATTAAGTTTTTGGTTTAAAAAGGGCTTAAGGCAGCTAAGACTGCTGTAGTCACCTTGGACCTAATCCAAAAATAAAATGCCATCTTTCTCATCCTTTACTCCCATACTGTGATGTGTAACAGCTATGGAGATTGCTGTAAGCCATTAATAATGAGTTATTTTTTATATATTAAGGAAAGGGGACCAGTGAGAACCCGTTTTCAGGTTCCTTGTGGCTTGTTACCCAGCAGGTCCATATAGAAGGATGATTAGGACCACGGACCTGAGTGCAGGTGTCTGAGATGGTCTGCACTTGGCTGTGTTGGGGGGAGGTCTTTTGCTCTACCCCTTGGTGTCTCTATAAATACCCTGGGACAGAGACAGTCAGGGCTCATTGGAATAGGTTCCAGGCTCTCTATATTTTCTATCTGTTCATCTCCACATTCTAAATCCTTCTATCTAATATTTCCTGCTGCTCACACTCAAGAAAACTCTGGGGAACTGTGGGGTTGGTGGATAAACGCCCTGCATTCTGTGCTACTGATAGTGTGTTATATGTGATGATTTTCCCTCAACTAAAATATATTCAATAAAATTCCTTTAATCACAAGAAATTTTATCTTTAATCACAGTGTAATTTGTTGATAGAATGGAAAGGATATCCTTTCAGTGTCCTCCAGAAGACTTGGGATAGCAGAATCAACTAACAGGAGTCTAGTGGCAGACGGGAAAAAGTTGTGCATATAAACCCTGCAAGTATTCTGTGAAAAGATGAAGGCTGTATTACATTCTCCACATCATGGGATAGTAAGAGTGACTGATGCTGCCTTGCTACCTGACAGCTGCTGTTTCTCATTGTGAATTATGTTGCTAGAGATAGGTTTAGGGTTCATTCACCTGACACCTGGGAACATACAGCTGATATGTTTAATAGATGTTTCTTTGATAAGCTAAAAAATTTTATTATATTTAAGCTAGGGGAAACTCTCAGAATACTGCTCCCTAACGGTCTCAATCAATGTAGAGGAATAGTAACTGATGGGGAAGAAAAGTAGACAGGAGAGAGAAAGATCAGAGAACAGCAAGAGGGCAGGCAGTTTGCTTCACAAGCCAGGGTCTGGGAAATTCAAAGACTCTACTCTTCTAGGAAACCACTTTCACACTTGCCCACAGAGACACATCTTTATAAGGTTTTTCAAAAGATGATATGTGGGTCAGACATTGGATGTTCCAGACACCTGGGGTGTCCTGTTGTGACTAAGCCTTATCCCCTTCACTTACTACCATGAGAGTTTTAGTCTGGAGGATCTAAACCAGAGAACATAAATGGTTAAAATTCTCCCCTTGATTAAAGTACCCTGTGGTTCCTAGGTCCTGGGCTCAGCAAGCCCAGCATGCACCCATGTGCCCTGTGTCTGCTGACCCACACTGCCCATGCTCAGGAGCACTTCCCCATCCTCTGCATCTCCTCTGTCCTTGCTCCTGCTGTTTAGCTGTCCTGTCAGCTCTTTGGGGTTTTCTTTGCTCTTCCTCACCCCCTCTGAGTATAGTCTCCTTTTGTTATCCTAGTCTTCCCATTCACTCAGCTGCATGGACGAAACTACAGCAAGTGGAGGTGTACCCTCCACAGCTGTGCAAGGACAAGCATGGGTGACACAACACACACACACACACACACACACACACACACACACACACACACACACCACACAGAGAGACAGACAGACAGACAGACAGACAGAGAGACAGAGAGACAGAGAGACAGAGAAAAATAGAGAGGAGAGCACACAAATACGTGTGAAAAACATTAAATTAATAAAATTAAGGATAATCACTGTGCATTATGCTTTTGAGCAACAAGGTAAAACTAATAATGTCCCTATTAATTAAATGTAGATTGTGTATACTTAGTTACCACTACTGTTCCAAATGTTCTATGGTGACCTGTAGGTCAAATGTAGGACAAATGTCTACAAACCGGACTTTCCGTGGACTGACAGTGAAAACTCCATAGCAAAGACGGAGAAGCAGGTAGTGCATGTGGATCAGTGGCCTATTTTGAATCCACACTTGTTATGGCCTTAGCAGGAAAGCATCCTGGGATCACCCGCAGTCACTGCCATGCTTTCCTTCAACTATAATTTCCCCAAGTGGCACAACAATTTCTCCAGTGAGTGCTAATGTGACAGAAGGACCAGAACACTGATATCAAGCTGGGGGTGGAGTGGGCAGTGACCTCCAGCTATTGGATTTGTTCCTAAAGTGATAGGCAGACAGGTCACTAAGACCTACTCTGTGTAGGCTTAAGATAACAGATTTTTAAAGAACAGTGATGGCTTTGAACAAGTCATAGGTATTTGTATGGAACACCTTCCCTAATGCTACTGGTTTCAGCCTTTAGCATAGGATAGCATCAAGGCTGTGAGTAAAGCATTCTCTAGAGTTTACATGCTTGAGTCTTGTTCATGTGGCTGTGACTGGTGGCAAGAGCCCTTTACAAACAGACACCTCAGGAGGAGGTAACAGAAAGCAAGACTCCATTACTGTAGGCTCTGGGAAATTGGCCTAGTTAATGAAGGGTAAACTCCTAAAGCCTCAGGGAGACTGAGAAGCTCTGCAGCGGGAAGAGGACTTGAATGATCATACCTGCAGAAGTTCCTAAGGACAGCCACACACCACACCAGCTGGGATGTACCCCTTCCAGACTGCGGGGAACTCACCTGCAGATGGACTCCTCCATCCCCAAGATTTCCCTATGCCATGCCATCAAATCCATGAGTGTAGTTCAGTTCCAAGGAGACAGTGCAGAAGTGCAGTTCTTTTGACTGAGGAACAATGGTGCTTGTGGAGATGCCAGGCTGGGTCTTTATGTCCACATCTCCTCCATCAACTCCTTCCTAACATCATGTCCTGGTGCCGGGCATTTCTCTCGCTAGACAGTTGAATGGAAATGACAAGTCATTCTGTTCAAGATTCCCTCTTCCCATTGGTTCAGAGGAGAGAGCAGAAGGCCCACACCTGTTTTACCCTCAGTTTCCCTGAGGAGAAACCTGCAGGCATTAGTTTCACTTTCTGTTTCAGGTTCCTACTGTGACTATAAAAGCACACACACACAAGCCACAGCTCACAGAGCTGTCTCCCAGCCCTTCTCTGAGAGTCCAGTTGGTGTGCAAGTCCATAAGACAGCAGAGAGTCAAGGCAGGATTCTGAGGAGCCTGTCCTGGTGAGAACCCAGAGAACTGCTGCCACCTTCACAGCACCCATGGGGTAAGGATTTCCCTGCCCTGCAGTTTGAGTGAACCCAGGACACAGACATTTGCTTCTGGCCAGGTGTGACTGAGTCTGCTTCTATTCGTTTGTTCTGTCTTCTGCCTTCTCTTTCTACTACTGAAAAGGGAACAAGGATGCTGATTGTCCTGAGAATCCAGGGACTCTGTTTAATGGGGGTGCTGTTAGCATGGGGCTGAATGGGTGACAGCAAGCTGGCTTTAGTTTTAAAG